TTTTACCCTCATAACAGAGCTGAACTACTCTAGAGACACAGACAAGGCCATGTCAAGCTCAATAATTCAACTCTGTTATAGAAACAACTGATCGCTGTTATTTTGTTTCTGCATAAGAGTTTAACTACTGAAACATCATTGCACTCCACCATGTTTACTGTTGTACTTTGTGCCAAAAAAATCCTGATCACTGTATTTTTCCCCCCATAACAGAGTTGAACTCCTGTAGAGAGATTGACATGGGCACATCAGCCTCAATAGTTCAACTCTGTTACGGAAACAAATGATCAACAATTGTTTTGTTTTTTTCTTTCTGCATAACAGAGTTGAACTACTGAAATATCACGGCAGTTCAAAATATTTATTGTACTATGTGCCAAAAATACATCCGGATCACTGCATTTTATCCTAATCAGTATTTGATATGCTTATATGCACACACACACACACCTTATTTTCCAAAATCACTTGCATGTGCATGTCTCTTTGTGCCAGGGACAGAGGGTATATGCCTAATAATGACCTTCTGATTTTGGCCACTTTCTTTTCTTTTAGGAAACCAATTATGTTAAAGTGCCATTTAAGTAATAACCAGTCAGCAACACCAAGATGTTAAATGGCTACACCATTTGAGATTAATCGCAATGTTGTTGTGTACTGTGCACGCAGGCCTTAAATGCATTACATCAGTGAAATCATTTGACATCACCCATTTTTGATTGGTCCATATTTTAACAATACCAACAACACTACACTTACCCACTAAGGGCCTCCGTTGTTGTTTTAAACTGACATATGTCAGTGAGAGGAAAGGTCAGGTCCATAATCATAGAGCCTTTCCTACTGTGCACAGTTGCAAGCACTTAGCAAGTGGCCCCATTACTGAATAACAACTGCAGAAAATGGATTCAATTAAGAAACTGAGGACAATGAGATTAATCGCAATGTTGTTGTGTACTGTGCACGCAGGCCTTAAATGCATTACATCAGTGAAATCATTTGACATCACCCATTTTTGATTGGTCCATATTTTAACAATACCAACAACACTACACTTACCCACTAAGGGCCTCCGTTGTTGTTTTAAACTGACATATGTCAGTGAGAGGAAAGGTCAGGTCCATAATCATAGAGCCTTTCCTACTGTGCACAGTTGCAAGCACTTAGCAAGTGGTCCCATTACTGAATAACAACTGCAGAACATGGATTCAATTAAGAAACTGAGGACAATTCACAAAGAATGAATGTCTTTGGTCATAAAGAACATTACACTCTCTCAGGCATGTATAAGAAATGTATCTATTTCTGTCTTATTCAGTTGACAGTTTACATCCAATACATTGCTAAACACTGACAACTGCTATCATCTAATAGTTGATGTTTTTGTTAAAGCACATACATAAATTATATAAAAAATGTTTATTACTTTCTAGATGGATAAACTAATTTTTGATACTTTTCGGACACTCTAATATGTGAATGACATGCTTTCATGAGCATGAGTTTAAAAACTGATAAACTTTTGCACAGATAGGGTTGGGAAGTGATTATAGCAAACAACACTTTTAAAAATAAAGGTTCTTTTTTGGCATTGATAGTTTCACGAAGAACCATTAACAATCACGGAACCTTTCCATTGGACAAAAGATTGTTTGTACGGGAAATTTAAATGTTTTTCAATGTTCTTCATACTAAGACAAAATGGTTATTTTAAGAATCTTTTTAAGGAAAGGTTCTTTAGGGAATTAAAAATGGTTCTTAGATGGCATCAATGCTTAATTTTTGTCATCATTTATTTACTTACCCTCAAGTCTTTCCAAACCTGTGCGTGTTCATTTCTTCTGCAGAACACAAAAGAAGATATTTTAGAGACAACATTGGAGCCATTTGACTTGCACTGTAAACTCAGTTTCACAGATTAAAGAAGTTCCTTTAAATATCCTATATGCACGCTTGTTTGCTGCCTCCAGTAGTATATAAAGTCCAGGGTATTAAACTATGTTCCAATGTCTTCATAGCAACAGAAATTAGAGCAACAGGTCTGTAATCATTAGACAGCTTGGATTAGACAACTTTGGTACAGAGGTTACCACGGCTAATTTGAAGCATTGTGAGTTGTTTAGGTTAAAAATAGCTGTGTATGCTTGAGCAGCAGAGGTGCGGAGTTTATTTGGTGCACTGACAGGGATTCAAGCCTCTTGTTGTGGCTGAGAAGGATGTTTTGATTAATTTATTGCAGAAACAATAAATGCTTTTATATGGTGTGAATATTGCAGGGTTTTGTTGTTTATACTGTTCTGAAGGTTTGTATATAATACACTGGTTTTATTAGTGGTGGTTGCTTAGGCAAGCATCACTATTATTATTGCTATAGTGAAAGCTTAAGAGTCCTAAACCCCTAATAGTATAAAACTTGAGTGTGAAACCCATTTTTTATCTCTACTTCTACAAAATGAAATTTAAAGAATGTGCATTAGTTAGGTTTTTTACTTTTTTATTCAATTCATGAAGGTGCTGTACACTTCATTATTTTCTATCGTATGCAACGCTATCATGTTTTGTATATTCAATTTAGTTGTATTTTTACTTAATTATTTACTATTTAATTTTTTTATTTATAAATTTGTACAATCTACCAAGCGCTGCATCCATTTTCAAGTTTCCCACCCATTATTACAACATTGTGGTGAAGTTCACATGCGTTCATTTTATAAATACGATCTTTTTGACATGACTTGAACGCAACATACCACATGGATAATACTTACCTTCCAACATCTGCCTTTTAAGCAAATCAGTTTTGCAAACCTCACATAACGTGAATTAATATTTATGACCCAATCCATGCCAGCCACAGTTTGGCTGCATCCAAAACCACATATAATTTCACACATGGGTGATTCTATAATTGGAGATACATTTGGCATTTCAGAAAGTTACGAAGAAAAAAACTTTTCACTAACAGAATTTTTTTTTTCTGTATCTTATTGAAAACATTTAATTTTAATAATTCAGTGCTTGCCAAACACAAGTTACTTCCTTTTTTTTAGTGCTTGCCAAACAGATGTATTTTTAATGAAAAAAAAAAACAGTATTTATGGTATTGTTTGTCAACTCTGTTACGGACAAATTAGGCAATGTGTAGAATTAACAATAAATCTCAACAGAAAAAATCCTTCTTGTTTCATTAGACAAACAGTCCTTACATTCCAACACTTGAAACTGAGATAATATTTTACCTAAGCACACCTTAAAAATTATGTCTTCACAGAATCGTCCACTTGGAGCAAATATTTTTCATCTGAAAATATATTATATACAATATCCAGTAAAAAAAAAAAAAAGAAAAGAAATGTTGTTGAAATATTATAAGGGTGCAAAAATAAATCAATAGTGTTTATTAGATTTTAAACAACAATTTTATAATTTTTTTGAAAATAGTTCAAATAAATAAAATAAAATAAACATTCAATAAATAAAAACAATAAACAACAATAAATAAAATATTTTATTTATAAAATAAATAAATAAACAGAGTTGACCCTTTAAGTAACAGAATTGTTAAATAACAGAATTGACAGAATTGTCCGGTGGACTGTCAATTCTGTTACACTATTGTCAGCATTGTTACTCTACCTTGGTAACAGAGTTTGACGGGAAACAGAACTGACAATTTTATTTATTTTTTGCCAAAAACTCCACTTGCTAGCTCAAATGCTAAGAGCACATGGCACTAATGAAATCATGATTAAAAGACTTTTAAATGGCACAAAGTGTGATCAATGAAAAATGTTGTTTTCCTTTTGAAACTGTGGTAACTAATTTTGACACTTTATAAAATAACTCTTGGTGTAAGAACTTCTTAGATTAAAATATTTTCTCAGAGAGAGCACACAGACTTTTCAGTGCTTCAGATCTTAACAGTGAGGGAAAGTGACATAATTTCCTGTATCTTACATAGTTGTGTGAGATAATTGCACTAATTTAAAGGCAAAGTATGGTACGGTAACAGAGTTGACGCAAGATTTACGGACACACGTTTTTATAAGAAAAAATAATGTTGAAGAATTAGGTAAATGACTCTTTAGGGCTTTCGTAAATAAAATGAATGAAATATTACCAAAAGAAAAGTACAATAAAATATTTTGATTACACAATAATACATGATGGAAACAAATGCACTGACTAATTCGGACAACAAGAAATCATGATTTTCAGCTATTTAATTAAATTATTATATTGTTATGGACTGTAACATCGTGTAATTCATAACAATGAGTAATACAGAATTAAATATAACCATTTGAAAAAAAAAAAACTGAAAAAAAATAATGACTTTGGACACCAAATGTACCTGCAATTATAGAATCACTCATACTGTATACTGTAGGTGAAAAACAGTATGTGAACAAAGTAGTGTCTAAATTCGCGGTATTCATAAAATAACAAGCGAAAAGTATTCTGAAAAGAGAGATGCTGAAGCGTGCATCTGATGGACACTTTACCTCCCATGAGGCCACGGAGAGGATTTGTGAATGGCAGCGGAGCAACACAACTGACACTGGTAGGTCACATGACAATAACAACATAGTCTGGATTGCATTCATACTACATGCATTTATACTCTAAATAAAACCATTAAAAGTATGTTCTGTAATGACTTATTTAATATTAGTATATCTTTTTAATAGAAGTAGGCCTATATAAATTATTTTAGACAGCCATTGTGTGCTGAGCCTGCTATAGACCATAGTCAGGGTAGCATATTGAATTTTTGACAGGAATGAAAACGAATGCCGTAAAAGCTTAGCACTCAAATGTTCTCATATCGTGGCTTGCAACTACTCACCTGGCTCTTGCCGCTTTATTAAACACCTCCAATGGCTTGTCGTCGTTTCATTAGGGTTTGCTGACAAATTTCCTGTGGTTTAATAAGGAGCACCTAGCTGATCTTTATGTCGTCTCATAATTTTTATTTTTAAAGCGTCTTCTTCTCTGCACTAAGTGTGCAGACAATCTCTGTTCCTCCTTAACACGCATTTGATTTGCCTGTAAGTGCCCTTCAAAGTGGACTTCATATGTTTCCGCCATCTTAAGTGAGATTTCAGTCTGTACATGTTCTGCTTGAAGCGTATTACTAACGGCACAGGGAATATAGGGTACACAATATCACTTCACATGAAGCTGAGAGGGAAATGTAACGGCTAGTCATACACATCACTAAAGGAGTTTGAATAATAATGCAGTGAAAGGAGTTGAGGCTTCGGTTTGTGAGTTACGCAGTTGTTCGCGGGCAGGAAAGAAAAGTGTGCGAAATGCGACAGCTAGTGTGAAACTATATGATTACGGTTAAATTAAACACACAATAGTATATCCAAAAAATGATGTTTATTTTCATATTAAACATCACAACATTTATTACTCGGTTTAGAGGTCCTATGTAAGGGATAATGCATGGCTAGCTGTGCATGAAACTATTTTAATGCACGACGTGGAGGCCAAGAACCATCCGACACGAAGCGGAGTGCATTAAAATCGTTTAATGCACAGCTAGCCATGCATTATCCCGCTTTTACCATGGTCATTTGCCAGCATTCACAAGTTAAAGCTGTTAATGATGTTTGCAACGCAATATTTGAAAAATTACAGTTATTTTCATCAGTTACGGCTTGCATTCTGCCTGCTTCAAATCAGACACAGAGATGAAATTGTGCGGTAAAAGTGCGGTAAGATCACACTTATTTGAATGAATTATAGCATTTATTTGAATTAAATATCGATCGAGAGAGAAAGAGAGAGGGATGACAGTTGTCTGTGTGTTACCTTTGTCTGTGCGTCTCTCTACAAACAATAAAGCTGTCCCTTATGAAAATTAACCATGATTTTATTGTAGTAAAAGTGTAGTAATCATGTTTTTTTTTACACCTCGTTGCTGAGGAATATAATGTAGCGATCTAGTATCTATAATCTATTTTATTAATAAAACAACTTGACAACTTTGTGTGTGTGCACAGCTTGAATTAAATATCGATCGAGAGAGAAAGAGAGAGGGATGACAGTTGTCTGTGTGTTACCTTTGTCTGTGCGTCTCTCTACAAACAATAAAGCTGTCCCTTATGAAAATTAACCATGGTTTTATTGTAGTAAAAGTGTAGTAATCATGTTTTTTTGGCGTATTGATTACCATTTGTATAACCACAGTTTTACTACAAATACCATGATTAAACTATGGTTAGTGTAGCAAAACCATGGTTAATTTGTTGGTTACCATGGTTTAACTATATTAACCATGGTTTTTTTGTTTTATTTGTAGTAAAACCATGATTAATTTTCGTATGGGGTGTTACTTCAAAAACAGCGATTTTACACCTCGTTGCTGAGGAATATAATGTAGCGATCTAGTATCTATAGGCTATTTTATTAATAAAACAACTTGACAACTTTGTGTGTGTGCACAGCACAATCTGCGATCTCCGAAGCTTTAACACCGAACACATTAAATTTACAAATGGCCGCGATCGCTCTTACGGAAAAAATAAGATAGTTAAACTGACTTGAACTACCTGTCCATTAAAGAGTTTTAATGCATACCTGCCAGCCAATCAGAATCCAGTATTCAGACAGACCATGGTATAATTATTAAATAATACATTAATATAAATACACATGTATACACGTATAGTAGCCTGGATATGTGGTCATTTATATTACTAATGTTTTATTTACAGAAGTATATTATAATACCTCAAACTCTATTATGCAATTTTTGTCTTTATGACATTGTAACTTGTTGGGAATGGCTACAAATATATAAAATATTAAAAGTGTTTGCATAAAATATATAAACTAGTAATTTATTCACAAATCACAAAACTCACAAATCTTTTGCGTTTGCTTACAAAACTTTTGCGTTCCCCCGAAAAACTTTGTTCACTAACAAAACTATTGTAATGGAAATAATATGAGGTAGGAGTAAAAGCTATATTTCAGTGTATTTGTATTTTATTTACTTTACAAAGCTTTGTGAGCAAATGCACTGAAATATAATTGTTCCTTCCATCTCATATATATACAGTATACACTACTGGTCAAAAGTTTGGGATCAGAACGATTTTTAATGTTTTTTACAGGAGTTTCTTATGCTTATCAAGGCTGCATTTATTTGATCAAAAATACAGGGAAAAATTTAATATTGTGAAATATTATTATGATGTAAAATAAAGTTTTTCTATTTTAATATACATTAAAATGAAATTTATTTCTGTGATGCGCAGCTGAATTTTCAGCCTCTTCAGTGTCACATGATCTTCAGAAATCATTTTAATATGCTGATTTATTATCAGAGCTGGAAACTGTTGTGCTGCTTCATATTTTTTTTTAACCTGTGATAATTTTTTTCAGGATTCTTTGATGAATAAAAAGATAAAAAGAAGAGCATTTATTTAAAATAGAAATCTTTTCTAACAATATACACT